ACGTACGTTACGTGTACGGTAGGTAGGTACGTACGTACGGTACGTAACGTAGGTTACGGTAGTGGTAGTGGTCGTGTACGTCGTTCCGTACTATATATATATATATATATATATATATATATAGGAAAGTATAGAATGAAACCATTTACGTTTGATATAAGGTGGTCACATTAATCTTGACCATTGGATGTGAAATTGAGTGGCTGCAATTATTCCATTACCAAACTCAAACTTCAAAAGAAATTTTCTCGAAATTTGTGACACATCCAAGCTATCAAATTTCACATCAAATGGTTGTAAGGAATTGTGATCACCATGTATCAAAAATAAATGGTCTCATTTTATACAATCCCTATATAATATTTAAAGCTTATCCAATATTTTCTTAGGTCCCCTCTAAATCCTCGCTCTATAAACCCTATGTTATTTTAAAATTTATTTCATTTATTTTTTTAATATTTTCTGGATCACTGATTTGAACCGATCTAGATCGCCGATCCAGTGATCAGACATAGATCTGTGGGTGAACGATCCACCCCACTAATCTGAGTTTTGAAACATTGGTTCCATCAAAGTGGAGATCAGGAAAATCATAAGGCTATTTGATTGCTAGCAGTCAGCATAACCCTTGTAGAGACGATTACTAATGTGGTCTATGGCTTGAAAAATAGAAAAGAATTTCATCTACACATTTATACACATTAGAGATTGGCATTTGTATTTAATGGTGTTCTTAGACTTGGGTGAGTTGGACATGGAACACCCCAAACTCGGGTATATAAATTTTTATTTTTTTTTTAATAATAGCCAAAAGCACACCCATTTGAGGCCTTAATTTTATCCATAGACTCGTTATCCTCTTGATAGATCATATTTGAGTAAAAACGATCAAATTTGACGGATCTGAGAGATCAAAAAATTGTCCAAGGTTTTGCCTGATTTTAAAAAGTTGTAATTTCTTTATAACAGTTGGTCGCTCTTTGATGAAATATTTTTCCCCAAACCTATTTTTTGGTTCTTCATCCAATCATAGGCTTAATTTTTCATTGAAAAAAAAACTCGGATTTGTATGGTTTGTTTTTCAAGAGCTTGGTTCAATAGTTCTGAATTCGAAACCTAAATCTGGTTAGGGGGCTTCGGTTGGGACTATCTGAGGAAGCTTCGACAAATATTGAATGCAACGATTGGCACCGAGCATAAAGATTAGGGAATCGACCTCGAAATTTTGGGTAAATTTCATTTTTCTCAATTTAATTCATATATAATTGACATTTCTTGGATAAATTTTATTTTTACTGTAAATTCATAGAATCCTTGTATATATATTACATATTTTTCTGATTTTTACTGATTTTAAATATGTTTTTCCCTTTCTTTTCTTTTTTGAAGCTTTTTGGGCTCTTTGGGTGGGCGGCTTGGCACACACTCAGCAGGGTGTATCCAGACTCACCCTAGTAACTAGACCATTAGCATCCGAGTTCCATGGTCTAGTGACATTTTTGAACATTTCATATTTAACAAAAAAGAAGAAAAAATAATAACTGGGGAATGGTTGTCCTTGATATAGCAGCTAAAGGTCAATTTCACAGGGAAAGTGGGTGGTGGAGCATCTAAGAAAACATGGAGTTGGCAAATTTGGATGAGTTGCCCTGGAGTAGTCATACTTGGGACTTGGGGCACGAACCTTAGAGAAGAATATCAATTCTAAGTTCAAGTTCAAGAATTTCTATGTGCTAAAAATTGGGTATTTTTTTAAACATTAAAATTTTTCTTAATGTTTTCGTAATGTGTTGTTTCTTTGATATGAGAAGTTGGATTATTGTGTCCCTTGTGGGGAAACCTTCGTAATGTGATCATATGGCTGTAACATAAATGCCATCATGATGGAGTTTGAAGGGTCTGTTTGCATGGATTTTAGAGTTATTTCAGCGTCTATTGTAAGTGTAGTCCCTGCTGGATATACAATTATAATTACCTTGATGCAACCAAGGATATGAATCTGGGTTTTAGCCTTTTATATTGCATTTCCTTTGTCTTCATTGTATTCTTTTTTGATGAAATCATCAAGTAGAAAGAATTTAAATTATGTCTTGCTTGCTCTTTTAGACCTCTTTGTTAATGAATTTATCACTTTGAAGGAAATTGCAAATTTTTTTTATCACCATAAGTGAATGATAATTTCTATTTTTCCCAATCATTTGAACGATTGTTTCCTTATGTGGATGTGGATCATAGACCTGAGATTAAATTCCAGATATTTTTGTTTCATTAGGAGAATATGTTGAATTTTAATGATTTAATTTACTCTTTATCGTCTTATGTGTATAGCTTGGTTTTTTACTTCTATAGGGTCTTAGTACAAAAGCATGGACGCCTTGTGCGAGAACTGCGAATAATTGCATACTTCAAGCAATGCTTTAGCAAGGACCTTAATATTACCGCATACAAGGAACTTGCTAATGCATTGGCGTCACTTCCCCCATATGAGGTTCCAATCTCGAGTATGAAAGTGTTGCATCTACATTGCCAGGTTGGTTGGAAAAACTTTCCAAGATGGTTCGAGCTCTTGCATAATGCTGCAACTTGCCTCAACTTGGCCATTCTAGTTATCAGTTGATCTTTGAAAGTTATTTGATATCCAATTAATCAACAATGTGGAGAATATTCTGCAGAATCTAATGGGTACAATCTTTGTCTAAAACTATAATAAGATTAGTGATTTTTAGGTTAATTTCTTAGTACTCCTCCCAAACCAAGTAAATGTTTAAAAAGAAATCCACTGGTTAAGTATTTGAAGAGAGAAGATTGGCATACATTCGTTATTACTTATCACAACAGTACTTTCTTCAATCAAAAGCTCTTTATTATTCTATCATTTCAAGGAATGCCTGTTCACAGTTAACTTCTCCTCCTCCTGTTAAACTCTTTAGTAACAGTTGTTTGACCCTCTTTGTAGGTTCCAAGCAGTGAGGTCTTTTACAGTTTGAATGGAACAATTGTTGGTCTCTCAGTTAGTTCAACTAAATCTGGAAAGTGCAGACCTCTGTGTGTTGGTCTTGGTAAGTCCTTTTCTTTAACATATTAGTACATGAATATTTATTCGGCGAAGTTCTCTCTCTAATACGCTCTTTTTTTTAGCCATCACATTTACTACGTAGTTTTGAAAAAATACTGATAACTCGGAATTAACCTTGAGATAGGTTCTTTGAGATGACTTAAAAGTTTCTTTTTGCAAACTATGTTTGGTAATTTATTTGCCTTGAATATGTTACTCTAGGAAGTGTTCCTGGTGTTTTCAGACAACCGATAATTCTTTTTTTTGTTGATTATGCTTTACCATATGTACCCATATGTAGAAATCTGTGCCTCTTAATAAATCTATGTTTGAGATGGATTTTAAGACTTAATTTTTAAGGAAATGTAAGCTCTAACATGGAGATCATGAATATGAAAAAATAAATAAATTTTAAAAACTAAAAATAATAATTCTAGTAAGAAAACATTGGACCGTTAGTTTCCATTGTTTTTAGATGGAACACGTACTTGCATCCATCTTTAAGATGGATGCTTACACGTTTTGGATCGCATATGTAGAAATGTGGTCCAGCCCACATGAAACAATTTTCCTTGCCATATTGTAATTTGATAAATGGAATTTTTATAGAATGGTTCTTGTCCTATCTATAAAAGCTTCTTCCGTGATCTAAGCGTAAATCATATCCTAAACCAAGAAAACTCTCTTCTGCAAAAAAAACAATTACCCATGGAGTTTAACTGCATTTAGGCCTCTCCCTTTGGGATCCCAACCTCGGATTCCAAGGAATTAAGGCGAAACCATGACCACCTGTAACCTCCTTAATTTTCCAAAAATGTAGAACAATCAAACTTTGTATAGGAATGCCTAAATAAACTCTGAATATGTTTTGGGAATCACATATTAATATTGGAGTAGATAAAAACGATTGTTGAACCCAATACAAAAGTCTGCTGGTCTTTTTGATTTTTTGCTCTATGATTTGCTTTACAAAGTTTTTTGCGGTTCAAAATTGGAGAGCTGACATCTTCTCCCCTATTGTCAACTTAGTATTTTATGTCTAAAACAGTGGCTACATTTGTCAAAGAGTCTATGTTATACTTGTCTTTATCATCCTACTATTTGGTTTATGAGAAGTATGCTATAATTGGATGGACACTAACAAGCCATAAATCCATTGTGTTCATCAAGATCCAATCAAATGATTGACAGTGATGGAGACAGAGACTGAGACCCACACTGGGTTCATGTCCTGATCTCGTGGATCACTCTCATTTATTATATTGGACAGTGGCCCCAATGGACTATGGTTTTCCATAGTCCCGTTGGATCATAGTTTGGTTTCCCTTGGTTTGTTCCTTTTGTAATCGGGTCCTTTGCTTTTTTGTAAGAACTGACTGTGGCTATTAGCATTTTGGTCAAAAGCCTTGGTAATCAGATCCTTATTTCCTGCTCTTCATCTTTTTTTGAGCAGGGATTGTCAGAGGCATAGACATTCTAAAAGGTCTATACTATGTGATTACACCTGTTTCACCACGTGATCTTGAGAAAGTTGATCTCTTTCTGCAAGGTTTAATTGAAATCCCAACCTGTTTGTTGCAGGTAGTAACTTTAATCTGTTGGTTCTATTTCTGATGCTTTTGTCATGAACTCATGCTAATATCTAGAAATTTTTGGAGGCATAAATCACACATCTATGCATGATGTATGCATGTGGTTGTAAAAAATTGAGGCTTTTAGATGCTTTTATTTTTGCTTGAAATATGTGCGCAAAGCAATTCCATTTAAATCTGCTAGTCAGTCAGTTATGCACATGGTAGGAGTTATGCACTAGTGTGACATGTCTATAAGTTTACTTTCACAATAGTTATTGTCTGCTAAGTGATGTGCTTGGGGACCTTTTGTGGCCGTATGGTTTTTTAATTCTATGCCTCGTTTTTAAGTTATGCTTGTATACACTTTTTTATAGGAATGTGCCGTAGCATATTTATAGGAACCCTAGAAATGCCTGTTGTTTCGTTTCTTAATTCAAAGGAAACCCTGTTCGTTCCTTACCAATTGAACTTTTTTATTATGTCTCATATATATGGGAGAAGAGGTTTTATTGCTATGATTTTCATGGAATAATGTCAGAATGTCATTGAAGAGAATTTAAAGGTGAGAATGGGTGAAATGATAAAGTTGAACATTACTATCTGCTCCATCCACTTTGTCCCTGCCCCAAAAACCAATACACATGTTCTCTTCAAACCAAATGCACAACAGTGGTAGAATATCTTAAGTCAACTTTTATAGGGCAGCTGGGGTTCATTTTAGATGGTTCTACAACTTGATTAACATGAGAAGTTGTTCTGCTTTCAATATGTGGATGATACTATTGCTTTTAGTTACTAACCATTGAACCTGCTTTGGCTCCTAAGCTAGAAATGCCTATATTTAAATGAGTTTCTGGGCTAAGGTTTAATCTTAGACATCAGTAATGGGTGTAAAACTTTAAACACAATTAGGATTAATGATAATGGAAAAGCATTTGCTATGGAGGTGGGCGTGCTTCTCTCTTCTTATGACGAGGGTTTCCTCTATGTGTTTGATTTCTAAGGCACTAAATGTGTGATTTGTATGTAGAGAGCGTGAATAATAGGCTTGTGACTTGCAAAGGAGAGATTTTTGTAATGGGAAGGAATGATTCGTCTGGTTAAAAGCTCCTTTGGCTACATCTTTTCAGATTTTGCATTTCGTGTGCAGTACTGGTTAGAGTCGTGTTTGTGAAGATGGAGTTGGACATCTTTGGTGTTTGGGCATTCAGACTTGGAGTTGAGGGATTGCATTTGTTTAAATAGAAGTTGATGGTGTTTTTAGGGCATTGACCCGATGCTAGTTTTTGATGTCGTGGGGGTTAGCCATTTTTCTGGGAAGCAAATCTCTTGGTGGATATACTGGCCAACTTGGGGGTTATCAAAGAGTTGTCATCATCATCATCATCAAAACCTTTTCCCAACTATTTGGGGTCAGCTACATGAACCCTGGTTTGCCATTCTGCTTTATCAAGGGCCATAGTGAGGCAATAAATCCCCATATTTTTTCTCACTACTTCCAACCATGTCCTTTTGGGCCTACTCCTTGCTCTTTTTGAGCCTTCCACTTGAACGAGCTTGCACTTCCTAACAGGTGTTGTATTGGGTTTGCGCTACATATGACCTACTCACCCAAGTCTACTTTCTCTCATCTTATCACCTATTGAAGCCGCACCTAAGTTCTCCCGAATGTATTCGTTTTGAGTTCTATCCCTTCTTGTCTTACCATTGATCCATCTCAACATCTTCATCTTAGCTACACTCATCTTATGGGTATGTTGTTTCTTGACTGCTTGACATTCCTCCCCATAAAGCAAAGCTGGTCTTACAACTGTCCTATAGAACTTCCTCTTCAGCTTCATTGGTATGTGGTGATCACATAAAACTCCGGTTGCACATCTCTATTTCACCCACCCAACTCTAATTCTATGTGCCACATCTTCCTTGATCTCTCTATTTTCCTGAATTATCGACCTACAATATCGAAAGTGTCATCTTTTTGGTATTTCGTGGCTGTCAATCTTAATTATTTCTTGATCCTTACTTATTATTACTAAACTTGTATTTCATATATTCTGTCTTAGTCTAGTTAATTTTAAAACCTTTAGATTCTAAAACATCCATCCAAAGTTTTAACTTTGTGTTGATGCCGTTTCGGATCTCATCGATCAAAACTATGTCGCCTAGGGTTAGCAAAAAGTATCAACAGATTATTATGTCACTTTTTTCTTCTTTTTCTTTCCTGTTAATGAGCAAAATGTAGCAATAAAAGATAGATAAACCATGAATTATTTGCAAATTTAATAGCTTATTCATGCTATATGATACTTCTTAGAGAACCACTATTTCCTTTATGCTTGTGGCTGCATTAGAACCTAATAATGGTTACCTCTTTTAAAAACAATTCCTTCCAAGTCTCACTTCTTCAGAGGTTTCATTGATATATTTCAGTGTTGAAATGAAATGTCAGCGTTGTCTTTATTTCAAAAATAACTATGAAGCTATTTGCAGGTAAAGGGATGTGTTTCCCCATACATGTCCACAAACGTGCTCACTGTCACGACTTAGAGCTTCAAATATGGAGATAGGTGATCAAATCTTACTCAGCATAATGATATTTCCAATGTGGTCAATGCAGCTTCACACTACTTCAACATGGCGTATGTGGTTACCTAATGGACCTAGCTTTGGTGTTTTGTTTATGGGCTTATCCAAGCATGCTAGCTTATTTTCAAATTTCATCATATTTGCAAAAATGAGCTGATGAATGCTTGGACTGATCTCCCTACTATTACTTAAAAATTGCTATTGAAATGGGTAATATGTTTTCATACACTTTCATATCGGATGAAATGCTTGGAAATTTGAAGCTTTTGCTAAATTGAGATCATCAGTGAAGGATGTCAAAGTATAAGAACAGTTTCAATTGAAGTAAAAAGTTTATATTGGTTCGGGCATTTGATTTTTACTTGGTTATCAGTGTAACTCTGTGCTGGGTTTCGTTGGAGTCTGGTTTGATTTTTTTTTATTATGACAGAGACTGCTAAATATTTTCCATTGCAGAAAGTACAAGTGTTACTCTACTGTATCTCTCTCCTTTTTCTCTCTCCTCCAGTACAAATATTATTTTATACCAATATTCGTATAGGCACTCTCCAGCTGCGTAACCCCTCTCATAAACCCTACCATTAAAAGCTCTCTTTCTCTCTCTCTCTTTCTCTCTCTCTCTCTATCTCCATGAGTAAACGATGAGGGAAAGGGCAGGGGATTTGGGGAAGAAGTAGAAGGGTCTCCATTAGTGGTGGATGGGTTGAGCTTTTTGGGGATGGGGAACCCGTATCTGCAGGCTGTGCGCTTTTTGGATCTCAATAACACAACATGGTTAATATACCCTGGTGTGTGGGCCTACATTCTCATACTCTTCTTCTCGTGGATCGTAGTCCTCTCCATCTTTGGGTGCTCTACAGGCATGGCCTTGACCATTGTCAATCTCTCACATTTTGTTGTAATCCCTTACCACTACTCTCTCTAGCCTGGTTTTTTATCTCTAGTTTTCATTGAATTTGTTTGATTTTATTGATTTGGAGGTTTATTATTATAGATCTTAATTACCATGGTGTTAATGATTGTTTGGTTGGGTTAATTTGTGTTTAGGTTTTTTATCTCAGACCTTTAGATCAATAGCTGAGTATTTCGCTATTTGTTTAAGTTGTGATTTGAAATCAATACAATATTTCGTACCCTTTTGAGCTCAAATGGAATTGCTTTGATTATTTATACAATTGTTCTTCTCTCCATTTTCACTCATTAGAACTGAGTCGATCAAATTTATGCCCTACAAATGCCTCCAGGAACATATAATGCATTTTAATAAATCAATAATGCATTTTAATATAAAATATAGGCTGATGAAAAACAAAAGTAAATTAAAGAATAAAATAAATAAAGTACCCTCTAAGCCAATATCATTTGCTGATATCATTTACTTCCCACCAAGCTTGGGAGCCAAACCACCCTAAGAAGAATAATTTTTTTCATACGAAAGCATGTTAATTATGAAAATGATAAATAAAAGAACAAAAGAGAGATACATAGAGATGTTTATCTATGAATTCATGAGAGAGAATCTATAAATTCATTGGAGAGAGATGCTTATTTACGAATCCACTGTGCTGAGACATTGTATGTATAAGGTTTAGGGAAAATTACAAATAATAATTAATACTAGACTTTCTACCTCCAACCTTTTTTTTCACTTTTTATCGTAAAATATACTTTCTTAGCAAATACCTCCCAAGTTAAAATAAAAATAAAAAAAGAATCCAAACTACCCTTCTTTATTTTTACCCACAGCTCTCTCTTCTTTCCTACGAAAAGCAGTCGCAATCCAACAACAGGCCCATATGGTCCAGCAATAGGTCCAAAGTGTGCTTTGACAATTTCAAAGAGCGATTGGGCACTTTTTTTAGTCTAATGGGGTTTGGCAATGTCAACGAGTAATCTAGCAGCCCATGTAAGCCCATGTGAATATCTGGCCAAAATTAAATTTGTATACAAAAAAAGGTATTTTCATAAAAAAAAAAATACATTTTTTTACTTGGGGGTATTTGCTAGAAAAGTGTATTTTGGGGAAAAAGTGAAAAAAAATGTTTGCTTAGGGGTAACTTGTATAGAAAGTCTAGTCTTGGAGGTTATTTCCCTCATTTTTAAACTCTGCCTAACTTTTAATATTTGGGTGAGGTTTGTATAAGGTGTCAACAAGGTATGCCTCGAAATTGTACCGAAAATGTAGTTTCGTTGCCACAAAGCCTTACAGTGATATGGAAATCTATTGTTTCCTCCAATTATGAAATTTAAAGTTTTAGAAATAGTGACGATCTAGCATATCTATAAACACTTGTAAATCTTGAAAATAAACAGTCCAAATAATGTGTTAGAATATGAACTATCTTTATTACTAAAAATTGCTTTTTTTTCGTATGTATGAATCTCAAGATCAAGATGACCGATTTGAGGATTTTCCAACATAGGAACAACCTTTTCTATTGGGTTTTTTAGGTACACCGTACAGTATGAGATTGAGACCTTATATAAACTTTTTCCTTAATATTTTATATACATTATGCTTTTTGAAACAACCTTTGGTAATATTATATATAGAGGGCAGCTAAGGAATATACTATACACTTTTTTCAAACTGATATTTTGCGATTTAGTTTAAAATCTCTATATGAGTATTTTGAAAAAATAAATTTTAAACTTTCAAACAGCTAGATTTGATTATAAAACTTCGATAATTTTTTTTCAATCTTTGGATATTAAGTTTTTAGGCACTGGGCATGATTATATGTTTTTTTTCCCCTTGTTTGGATTACTTGGCTAGTTAAGGAGGTTATAAACTGAAGTTTTGAATCCTACAAATATTCCTAGGTAGCATTTTATCTGAGCGAGTCAATGGATGAAATACTCCATCTACTTCATCGTTAGCACCTCGCAATTACGATTGCACTGCTTGAAACAAATGACTTTAAAAGTGAGGGCCATATACTGAATTTTGCATTTCATCAAGGGCAAAACCCATCTTTTCAAAAAGGCAAAACTCAAATTTATTTATTTATTTTTGATAAGCAAAACTTAGATGATAATTACAAACTCAAAAGTTTTCATCGAACATAATTTAGTTCTACTACCCTGGGAGCATAGTTTACTTCGACTTCCTTGGTCAAAAAACCTATTTCGGAGGATTTCTTCAAGGAAAATGCCTTTATATTTTCCCCATCTTGCTGTTCAATTTAGATCAAATAAGTCATTGGCTATTTGATCTTAGATCCGGTGCTTCGGAGTATTTTATTTTTAATTTTATTTAACAAATTATATGAATATAAAATTTTGTACGTGCCATCATCTCAATGGGGCGCATCTAAAACAAATACAAATTTTTTTTAAAAGAAAATAACCAAAATACCCTTGAAACTTTCATTCGTATTTTGGTCATTTTATTTTATCGAAAATATTTGTTTTATATTCTTCACATATGCGAGTTTAAAAGTGGAGTGGATGCTCAAATGTTGATATCAAAATATTTTGTATAAAAAAATTTAAAATAAAACAGTGTAGATTTGTGGCATTATAATAGGTTATATCTCAGCTACATTCGGAGCTTATGGTTAGATAAGAGAAAGTATATAACTACTATACATTTCTTTTTTTCAATAAGCACTTTTGGAACAACTTAAGAATTCTTAGATGATTATTATAAAAAAATTTTGAAATTTAATTTTCCTATCACTTAGATCTCACTATCTAAAATTGGAAGGTCTCCATTCAATCTTGATATATCTATGTTTTTAGTGCATAGAAGGTACAATTAGGGTAATTTTTTTTTTTTTTTTTTTTTTAACCTTATGGTTTGAAGGGGTTATATCCCAAAAATAAACGTTATACTCCCCCGAGAGCAGATTAGATTTCGGCTTCTCATTTGTCATTTGCAACAATCAGAACGGGCTCATAAGGGCGTTTTAGTCATTTACTCATTTATTCCTTTGTTACAAAAAAAAAACAAAAAGTGCAGGGACTGAGGGCGGCCGTCTCATTTAAATTTCTCCTTTCTGCATTTTTTTGACTTCATCTCTTATGATGGCAATGGCGGGAGATTCCACTTGGGTTGGTAAAAAACCCCTGCGTCGCCTTGGTGGCATGGCTGATGCCCTCTCCTTGGCCTCTGATTTAGGGTTTTCAATCCCGTCGGTTCAGGTATTGCTTTTTTTAAAAAAATTTGGCTTACTTTTCAGTGTTCAGTGTCCTCAATTCTTCTGCTACTAATTCTAGGGTTTTTTTGCGACATTTATTTTTAGTATTTTTCATGGAATTTTGGTTTCTTTTGATGAACTGATGTTGAATTTGATTGATCTGTATCACTAATGGTTATCTGAATGTAAGATGGGGCATTTTGCATTTTTATTGGGTACACATATGAAATGAATTATTGGAAATTTTGGAATTATTCTATATTTGAAATTATTGTGTTTTTGTCTATAATTTATCATGTAGGTACGAAATGCCTTGCCTATTTGTTATCTTTTTTTAAATTGAATAACTTTATTTTTGCATTGATTTTCTTTTTCTTTTTTTCTCTCTTATGGGACTTTATATTATCTCTTCTATTATTTTAGCTTTTCTCTTAAAAAAAAAAAATTCTCAATGAAATGCTGGGCTTCAGTTTGCAAATTGGAGAGAAACAAGATTCTTTGATTTTTATTGCAGAGAGATTTTTCAGTTCATTCTGCTTTTTCTCGCTCCTAGATCATTTCTTGTTGTTGGTGCTTTTGAAAGCTGCAGTTGTCATTCGAAACCTTGAAGATTTTTACATTTCCTCTATGTTTTCTTTCTTTTCTTCAGTTCTTATTTAAGAATATTTAATTGAGCATGATGCCATTTTTTTAATTTAATGTACGTTATGGAAATACAAAGCCCTGAGTTGGTTCTCCCTTTTAAACTTTTTTCTACTTGCATTTTCAACTTATTCAAGGGTCGAAAACTATAGTTTGTATGAAAGAGACGGAATATAATTTATGTTTTATCAGAAAATATATGTAGGGGAATTTGAGGAAGCAGAAAAATCAGCAAGAAACGAAACCAAACACAAGCATAATTCAAGAAACATTTAGTTTCTTTTCCACACCCAAGACGGGGTTGTAAAAGCCTAAGCTTTTCTCTCTTTCAATTTTTAAAAATGATGTGGATCCCCTCAAGGCCTCACATACTTTTTATAAATTATAATTTAATGTTTCAAGTACAAAAACTGTCCACACATTATACATTGACCCATATATCCTAACTTAACTTAAAATTTGTAATGACAGTTTTACCCCTACAAACAGTTCCAATAAATAGTACTCATGAATAGTACTGGTTAATAGTACTCATGAAATAAATAAATAAAATATAACAACCTAGAATTCCAAAAAACTAAAAACTCTTGAAATGAACCCTAAAACTAAAGCTATAATATACATCATTTGAAATTGAATAAAAATAAAAAATAAAGATAATTTTTCCCTCCGTCATTCTCCCCTGGTTGTAGAAAACTTGTCCTCAAGTTTTGGAGTGTGCTAAGATGAATTCAGCATCAAAACCACCTTCTTCAACCTTGTTCTTCTTTGTTTGCTCAAAGATTATTCATGGTAAAAAGAATTTATGAATAAAGGGTTCTTGATATGTATATTGAGAAATTGATGCAATTTTATCAAATTCAGATATTCTTAAACTCCTATTGAAAATAATGTGATACTTTAAACTCAATTCTCTAGTCTTTAGAGGATTTTCTCTCATCTATTTCATTACTCTATAAAATCAAGGCCACAATTCACGGTTTATCAGTTGACCACACTTCCATTTCGCTACTCTGATTCCAATGCGCTAAATCTCTTGAATTCTCCTGTTCATTGATATTAATGAGATCTTCAAAGGCCATGATTCAGACCAATCCTTCTGTGTCCTTCTTTCCATATTCTTCACCTTCTTCCAAAATATCTTTATCATCTTGATCTTATCATTGATCGGATCTTCTAAGAAATCTTGTTGTTCATTTTAGTATATACCGAAGACTGGTGGTGAATTCCAATCTATAACTTGTCCATCTTTTATGCAATTTGTGTCAAAATCAATAATCTCATCATTCAAATCGAAAACCCTAATGTGATATTCCACACATCTAGGCCTTCTGTCGCTATCTTTAACACTTGACTCCCCACGCAGAGTGCAAAAGTGAAAAGGTTTGTACTTGAGATTCTCTTGGGCTAAAAGATCATCCATTATTGAGGCTTGTGAATTGCTGCGTCAGCTGTTGAACTATCCTTTCAAATTCCTCAGTTCTGTCATCTATGGGATTACAACGCGGATCTACAAATATCCCCCTTCTATGGCCCCCTTCTCGTTGCCATGGGGTCGGCGAAATTACAAACCCTAGGCAAATAATCAACAAAAAACTACTGAAATCAACAAGATCTAGGTTTTAGTAAAACTTTGGCTAAAATCAGTAAACCTTAGAGCCCCATTGTAAGTTTCCTGCTTTGTTGTGGACCTAAGGCACCAAAAAATCAATGCTGTTGTAACTCCATATGGTGCTACAGTAAAATCAACAAGAAACAAAGCCAAATACAAGCACAATTCAAGAAACCTATGGTTTCTTCTCCACACCCAAGCTAGGGTTGCAAAAGCTTAAACTTTTCTCTTTTTCTAAAAAGCATGTGGAATATGACCCCCGCAAGGCCCAACGCACCTCTTATATACTATAATTTAATGTTCCAAATACAAAAAGTGTCCAAATAAATAATAACTTGACCTGTATATTCTAACTTAACAAATTTGTAATAACAATTTGATTACCTCTGTGAATAGCTCCAATGAACAGTTTTCGTGAATAGTACTAATGAAATAAATAAAATATATAAAAACCTTAGAATTCCCAAAAACTAAAAGCCCCTAGAAGCAAACACTAAACTAAAACTATGATATACATCCTTTGAAAATGAAAAAAAATAAAACATAAGGATAAGTTTGCCCTCCATCAAAATTTTAAAGAGAATAATTTTTTGAAATGGGAAGCCTGAATTGAGTTGAGTGATTTGTTGAGATTAGTCTTCATAAGCAAGAATCCGTATCACATTGGTTTTAATGTCTAACTGGGTGTCCTATTTACTGGCTTCTAAGTTGGTTCATGGTTCACCAGTTATCAAGAGTTGGTTTGTTATATTTCCTATTATTGATGGAATCTAGTAAGAAAAACCTGTTTTGTTATGGTCTTCTGGAGAATATGGATGACTAGAACTGACACTGAATTCGAGCTTTATCAACTTCTTTATAAGTTGTTCTCAAAGATTGTGTAGCTTCTTGCATGAATTTCTAAGCAAGCCTGCTATTGAGTTTACTAAGTTTTTCCGACTCATCTTCTGGCCATGAATTGCTATGCCTCCTTGTCTGATTGAGTTATAAAATCTTAGTGCTGAGTTAATGATAATAGTAAGGCAAAACTAGCCCTGGCAGTTTAATGGTTATGCTGATCCATCTTGTTAATTCAAGATGGCTACAGACGGAACCATAATACTGATGCTTATATGGGTCTAGGTTGTTATGTAATTTAAGTCTCACCAGGGATTGTAGGAAGAAACTCCATGCATGTTATTAATTCTAGTAGAAATATTTCTGCTCTCTCTTATTATCTTCAGTTGACTTAACTGCTGAAGCATGCGAAAATTGAGAACAATAGACTAATGGTTTGGTTGAATCATCTCTATTGTAATTTGTTCTAACTATGATTTTAAGGGAGTTTACATGTTCTTTTGAGGCCACCATCCTTACTTCTATGGTTTATCAATTAGAGGTGTGAGTTTGTCCTCTTTACTTTCTGCATTTCATTTCTTTATGATCACTAACTGTATTTTGTTTAAGTAACTGAAACATGCAAGTATGGTTGTGTATGATTTACAAACTGGGTATAACAAACACAAAAAAGGAAAAAAAATGAAAAAAAGAATATGTATACACCAAAAACAAAACACTGTTTTACATTGTCTCCGACCTTATGTTAATCATTGGCAATGATTATTGAGTAGCTTTGGCCTTTGAGCCTTCACTTTGACTAAAGAGTCTGCTACTGGGTTTGCCTCTCTATTTTCATTGATAGTGTTGAAAGAATGTTGAAGTTATTGTGAACACAATCTTTGGCCTAACCAAAGAGATCAGAGGGCATGAGATGCCTTGTAACTTAAGAATAGCTGGATTTATAAGATAATCTGCTCTAATTGAAGTACAAATTATTTTTGTCATCCAGTGACCTGTATTTGATTTCATCTAATCTTGTTTTTGTCTCTTTTCATTAATTGTGTTTTAACCTTAACAGGATGATACACAGAGTTCACCAAATACATCAACAACTCCTGATAAGAGTGATGCCCTAGTAAGAGTCCTAAGGGAGCTTACACTAGTGCAAAGAAATTTGGCGAACTTGCAAGTGGAACTTCAAGGTAGGAAGGTATGGCAAATTGTATTTTTCTGGAAGCTAATTTAAGATGTGATGCATATATATATATATATATATATATATATATATATATATATNTATATATTATT